ATTTAACCATTTCATCTGATTTATCAGATTTATTGCCGTAAAGTTGTTGAGAATATTCCTTTTAATGACTCGAGGTTCTTTGTCGTTGTGCCCTTTCTTATTCCTGGGAGCCATGATGCGCATCTTCTTCTTATCACTGATGCAAAAGATTTATCAATTTTATAAATCTCAAAGAAACAGCTTTTGGTTTCACTGAATTTCTCTGTTTCTGTTTTTAGTTTAGTTTATTTCTGCTCTTTTTTGTTTCTTTTCTACTGCTTCCTTTGGGTTTAATCTATGCTTTTTTTGGTTAGATAAGCTTAGGTCATTAATTTGAGACTTTTTTTCCCTAATACAAACATTAAACTATAAATTTCCATCAAAAATTGCGTTAGTGGAGCACCTGGGTGGCTCAGTGGGTTAAGCCTCTGCCTTTGGCTCAGGTCATGATCTCAGGGTCCTGGGATCGAGCCCTGCATTGGGCTCCCTGCTGCTCGGGGAGCCTGTTTCTCCCTCTCCCACTCCTGCTTGTGTTACCTCTCTCACTGTGTCTCTCTCTGTCAAATAAATAAATAAAATCTTTTAAAAAATAAATTAAAAGTTTATTGAGACTTGTTTCATTCTCAGAATATGGTCTATTTTGAAAAATGTTCTTTGTGCTTTTGAAAAGAATAGGTGCAGTTTTCCATAACTCAGATGATTCAAGTCTTCTGTATCCTCACAGATTTTCCGTCTACTTCTGTTAATTATTAAGAGAGGAGTGTTGAGATCTCTGACTTTGTAATTATAGATGTGTCTGCTTCTTTTAGTTTTATCAGTTCTAGCTTTATGTATCTTAAAACTTTGTTAATAGGGACATAGACTCATTTAGGATTGTTATGTCCCCTTGGTTAATTGACCTATTAATCATTATGAAATGATCTTTTTTGTTTCTAGGAATATTATTTGTTCTGAAGTCTACTTTGAATATTACTATAACTTCTCCAGTTCTCTTTCTTCCTTTCTTTTTTAAGATTTATTTGAGAGAGAGAGAGAGCATTGAGTGGGAAGGGCAGAGGGACAGGGAGAGAGAATCTTAAGCAGACTCTGAGCTGAGTACAGAGCGCATGCAGGGCTCCATCTCCCGACCCTGAGATGACGTCCTGAGCCAAAATCAAGAATCGGGTGCTTAACCCACTGTACCACCCAGTCGCCTCTCTCCAGTTTTCTTTTGGTCAGTGTTAGCATGGAATATTTTTTTTTCATCTTTTTAGTTTTAACTTATTTATATCTTCATAGTTAACCTGGGTTTCTTGTAGCCAACCTACAATTGTGTCTTTTTTAATCTCTTTTGATCATCTTGGACTTTAAATTGGGACATGCCATTTGCATTTAATGGGATTTTAAAAATGTCATTATTATCTGGCTCTTTGTTTTCTATTTTGTCCATCTGTACTTGGTTCCCTTTTTTCTCCTATTCTGTGTTCTTTTGGGTTGAATTTTTTTTTATTCCATTTTTTTCTTTTGATTACTTCTACCTGAGTTTTGTTTTCTTTCAGGTTGCTTTAGGGTTTATGGTACATCTTTAACTTACTACAGTTTACCTTTAAGTAGTGGTATACCTCAACAGTATACATCCATTCCTTCTCCTGTGATTTGATTCTCATATATTTCACTTCTCTGTTTATTGAATTATATCTGCATTGTTATGTTTGCTTTAAACAGTCAGTTGTCTTTCAAGAATTTTTTAAAAGGTCTTTTATTTTTACCCATGCATTTACCATTTCTGGTGCTTTCCCCTTTGTGTAGATCCAGATTTCTTTCTTTCTGTCTTTCTTTTTTTTAAGATTTTATTTATTTATTAGCACGAGCAGGGTGAGGGGCAGAAGGAGAAGCAGACTCCCCGCTGAGCAGGGAGCCCGATGTGGGCCTTGATCCCGGGACTCTGAGATCATTATCCGAGCTGAAGACCAATGCTTACCTGATAGTCACCCAGGCAGGTGCCCCTAGCTCTAGATTTCTATCCAGTATCATTTTCTCTCTTAACTGCCTTTAACTTTTGATCTGCCATTGTTGGGTTCTTCTGTATGTCACAAAAAGTCTTCATTTAATGTTAGTTTTTTGAAAGATATTTTTGCTGGGTATAGAATTGACAGGGTTTTTTTCTTTTAGTGCTCTAAAGATGTTACTTTACTATTCTTTTGGTTTTCATCATTTCTAATAAGTCAGTTTACATTCATATCCTTTTCCCCTCTCTATATAAGTTTTTCTTTTCAGGTTTTCTCTTTATCAGCGGTTTTAAGCAATTTAATTATGATGTGCTTTAGTATAGCTTTCTCCATGTTTCTGGTGGTTGGAGTTGAAGCTTCTTGGATCTGTAGGATTATGGTTTTCACGGATTTGAAATATTTTGAGATTATTTCTTCAAAAACTTTTTTCTGGGGCACCTGGGTGGCTCAGTGGTTAAGTGTCTGCCTTTGGCTCGGGTCATGATCCCAGGGTTCTGGGATCAAGCCCCACGTTAGGCTCCCTGCTCCACAGGAGGCCTGCTTCTCCCTCGCCCACTCCCCCTGCTGTTTTCCCTCTCTCACTGTGTCTCTCTCTATCAAATAAATAAATAAAAATCTTTAAAACAAACAAACAAAAAAACCAAAACTTTTTTCTGTCGTCTCCCTCCCACCAGCACACTCCTCTCCCACCCCTACCCCCAACCCCACAACATTGCGTGTGTAGTAGGGTGCCTTACATTGTTACATAGCTCACAGATTTTCATTTTTAGTCCTTTTTACTCTGTTTCATTTTAGATAATTTGTATCAGAGCTTCTAGTTCCTGAATCTTCTGTTCTGCAGTGATCTTTTCCTCTGCTCTTGACCTCATCCAGTAAAGTTTTCATATTTAGACATTTGTATCTTTCTGAGTATAGAATCTTATCTATTAGGAGGTGTCTGCAATTTCCTGTCCTTTGTGACCTCTGAGAAACCTTCCTGCTCCTTGCTGGTGAGTCTTTCCTTGGCTTCTGTAGCTTCCTCACAGTCATACACCTACCAGAGCACAGCTGACGTATAAAGGGAGCTTCTTGCACTTCTCCAGAGCCTTCTTCCCATGTATCTCTTTCCTTTCTAGTACTCTGCCCTGTGAATTCTTACCACCTTAGCTTTCCCGAATGCCCCCCCCCCTTCAACTCTTTAAATTGGGAAAACCACTGGACTCAGAGTTTCCCCTCTCTGTGCTGCTGCCTCGAAACTCACCGGGCAGTAAGATGGTGCAGTCATAAGGCTCACCCTGTGCATTTCCCTTCTCTCAGGGATCGTGGTCCTGTACTACTTGCTGTCTGGTATCTGAAAAATATTGTTCAGTATCATTTGACCTTTTGTATTATTGTTTAAAGTGGGAGGATAGGGCTCCTGGGTTGCTCAGTCAGTTAAGCATCTGCCTTCAGCTCAGGTCATGATCCCAGGGTCCTGGGATCAAGTCCCACATCAGGCTCCCTGCTCAGCAAGAAGCCTGCTTCTCCCTCTGCCTGCTGCTCCCCACTGCTTGTGCTCACTTGCCCTCTCTGTCTGACAAAAATTTCAAAATAAAAGAAGTGGCAGGAAAATCTGGTTACCAGTATTCCATGATGGTGGGAAGCAGAAGTCTGTTCCTCTTTTTATACATTCTCTTCCTTATAGACGTTATGCCTACTTTCATGGCTTCAGTTATTTTTGTGGGCTTTGGTAGACATGGCTTCCAAATCTTTATGTCAAGACTGTCTTCTTTCCTGAGTTCAGTGCCTCCATTCCTGTTGGATATTTCTATTTAGGTTTTCCTTTTTCCTTTTATTTCAAATGCAGTAGTTTTCTTCAAACAAATTCCCCTTTCAATTATCTGTATTTCTATTACTTGAAGCCTGGCTCTCCAAGTTCCAGAAGCTGGAATTCCTTTTTATCTTCTCCAGCATATTTGATACCTAAGTTTTCTTTTTTCCCCTCTTACTCTTCATTTTTTTCTTCATTTTTGTACCCTTTCTCCCCACCCTTCCTGTTACCTAGTTTGCAATCAATAGCCTTGCACTTAGACTGTCATCAGAGCTTCCAGCTGATGATCCTGCTTTCTCTTCTCTCTGCAGTAACTCAGCTTGCATACGCCACCAGATAAGTATTCCTAAAATACCTCTCAGAAGTCACCAGTGCCGCCTTTAATAAACGATCAGCTCTTTATCCTGGCCCTTAAAGTCCCTGACAGTTTGATCCGTCCTGCCTTTTCAACATTCACTTCACTTACTTATTTTTCTGTATCCTTCACCCTGGCTCCACAGATTTCCCACCATTTTCTGAATTTGTCCTGTACTTTTATGTGTTTACCTCCTGCTTTTCCCTTTACATCTAGCAGGCCTTTCTGGTTCTTGGTGGATCTCAATGTCAGCCTTCTTTCAGAATCCAGCTTAAATTCTTCTCTTCATTTTCCTAAAGCACACCAACTCGTCATAGTCTCTTCCTTTGAGCTCCTCTTTAGGCTCTGACATTTGCTAGGAAATAAACTGTGTTTGGGATTAGTAGATGTTCGGTGTTGATCTGTTTGTTATCTACCTCTTCAGTTCTTTCAAAATGTATTTTTCTTGACTCATAACTAAATTAAAATTCTTGAAGGAAGAGACACTATGTTTTATGGTTAAGACTATACTGTGTTTACACATAGTAAAAGTTCATAAATATTTATTGATTTACTTTAGCTTGGAAATAGGAAGTCATATGCTACTTGTCTTGTCAGCATATTGGATTTCTTCCCTTCTTTTAGATTAATTTTTGTAGTCTTAATATTATCACAGAAGAAAGTTTGAAGTATTTTGGTTACACTGACCAGAGAAAAAGATACAGGATTAGTAGAAATTTATTTTGCAGTATACTTGACTTGGGAAAAGAAACAAAATACTTTTTTTTTTTTTTCAAGATTTTATTTAGAAACAAAAAACTTTTTACCATTTCTTTTCCCATATTTATTTTCCTTTTACTTGTAATATCTTTATTATTTGAGACAACTCACTATAGATTCTCTTTTTCAGATCTGCTTTCCAATATCATCATGTATGCTCCCTTAGTTCTTCAGAGTTGTTCTTCTAAAATCACAGAAACTTTTGACTATTTTTCCTTTCTGCCCCTTCAGACTGTACAAGGGCTGCTGAAGGCAGTGCAGGTAAGTCTTCTGATTCCTCAGGAACTCGACAAGACTGAGGTTGAACTACCTAATAGAAGTCTGATATGATTCTTCATAAATACTAATTTCTGAGAAATTCTGTATCCCTGATTCTGAAGCATAAAGTTTTGTATTAAAAAGGCAAGAGCACTGAGCTAGACTCTGTTTCCAAGTTTACCCCTTTTTCCTGTCACAGTTCGCTCTCCTTTACTCAGTTTCAAGTTAGTGAAGTGATTGAAAAGCCCTCAGAAAATTGAGGACAATAGGTTTGAAGACATTCATAATTAGTTTAAATTTAGTATTTCAGTGTGTTCTATTGTCCTTACTACTAAGTGTAATAAATACTGAAACATATATTTAAAAATAGGACTAAATTTCCTTATATAAGCCACAGTGTAACAGTATTGGGTAGAAATGAGCTAAGGCTAATAAACTTGGGTTTGGTTTTTTTTACCCACTTGTTCTTTGTCTTCCAGCCCCTTCTCAAAGTCAGTATGTCAGTGAGAGACTCCTTGATACTTGTGCTTCGGAAAGCCATGTTTGCCAGGTATGGAGCCTCCCATGAGACCCTAGCAAATAATGCCTTCTGACGTTACACACCATTCTCTCTGCTAGCTCCTCATACGGCTCGTTCACGGTGGTCATGCAGATGTCTGACCCAGCAGAACAGCTTTCATCAAGCAAGGCCTGTGCTGAGTACAGGCTTCCTTCTCTCATTGAGTTTTCAGAGTAACCATACAAAGTCAGAATTACTAGTTTCCACTATACAGATCAGGAAACTATAGCTTAGAGAAGATAAGTGACTTTCCAAAAGTCAAACAGAGGTTGATGGGGCTAGAATTCAAGGTTTGATCTCAGGTACTCTGCTAACACTGCTAGAATAATCTTCAGGAAAAGGTTCAGTGCCAACTGGCCATAGTTCTGAAGAGGAAAACACCAGGGGCGCCTGGGTGGCTCAGTTGTTAAGCGGCTGCCTTCGGCTCAGGTCACGATCCCAAGGTCCTGGGATACAGCCCCACATCAGGCTCCCTGCTCAGTGGAGAGCCTGCTTCTGCCTCTCCCACTGCCCCTGCTTGTGTTCCCTCTGTCAGATAAATAAAATGATCTAAAAGAGAGAGAGAAACACCTTAAAATATTCAGGAAACTCACTCTAATGAACATTGATCAGAATTGTGGTCTAATGACTGTAGACCTCATAAACTGTTAAGCAGTGTGAGGTTTTTTGGTTTAGCCAATACCTCCTGATCTCTCTTCCTTAATTTCTTAGTGTATAAGCTAGAGATGATATTGCCTTCTAATAAGTGTTATGAAACCAGTAATGGGTAGAAATACTTGGTACTTTAAATATGAGATGTTCAGTATCACTTTGGCCATTTTATAGTGCATTCGTGGATACCCAGGGAACAACTAGTAATTATCCCTTTTCTAGAACTGACAGTTTTTTGTTATTCTTTACCCAGAGGCATGTCTACCAGGCCAAGATTGCTTTGTCGTAGCACCTCCATGAATTAGTCAGACGAGAGTCAGACAAGTCAGTGAGACGAGTGTCTTGTTTTTCTGGACGGAGGGTTTACAAGGCGCCAAGCACTATATTCCTCTGTGAAGGAAGGAAGGAGTCCTTCAGACACAGAAAATCAACAATTCCCTTTGGTATTTCATACTTATATTTGAGTCATTGGCCCATTGGATACCTTCTCAGTACTCCTATTCTCGCTCCCCACGTAGAAGAAAGTATAGATAGTGTCATGAGGTTGAGTAGATCGTGAGATAGTGCAAATCAGCCGAATTCCTCTACCACTAACTGCCAGGAGCAGCTGGTGCTTATGTTGATTAGATAAATTCACTTTCTTTTGCTCTGTGCTTCATAACTTATTCCTTCTCTGTACAGAACTAACTGGATTTTTCTGAGCCCGAAGCCTATTCCTGTGAATTTAGTGCTGTTTGTTAACTACCTCTCTGTCTGTTCCTGAGCTAGCCAGCTTGATGCCCGAAAATCTGCGGTTGCGGGCTTTTTGCTGCTCCTGAAGAATTTTAAGGTCCTCGGCAGCCTGTCTTCCTCTCAGTGCAGTCAGTCCGTCGGCGCCAGCCAGGTAAGCCCTGTGCACACGGCACCGCGACGTGCGTCGGGGCAGGGCCTGGGGTGTGCAGGCTGTGCTTTCCCCCTGCTGTTCAGGTTGTGCAAATGATCCGGAACCTGAGCGTCTGCATCTAAATGCTGTTATTATCCCCCTTTTTAGTAGTTTATGTACTTTGCACCTGAACTTTTAGTAAGCCTGGTAATCTGAGAACATAAAACTTTTTACAATTTTTTTGGTAATCCAGACTTCGGAGCAATAAAATTGTTTTTATACCTTAAATTTGTACTATATGACTTGTGAATAACAAGTTAATGTGACAGTTTTATCAGGAATCCTTTATTCTAGTGTAGCTATACAAGACTTTTGTTTATAACATTGGCACAGATTAAATACTAGGAGCACAGGGTATCAGTGTATTGCTATCCGCATCCCCATCTTAAGGATGAGAAGACTAAGGCCCAGGAAGGTTAAATAACTTGCGCAGGGAGATAGAAGCAGCGACGGGGAGAGTGGGGATTCGACTGCTCAGTATGCACTACCTCAGACAGGCCTGGAGTAAGGATTAGGAGTCTCCGGCTACAGCCGCTGGATTTATTGCGTAAATCAAACAAGGGCTGTTATTCTTTGTCTTGTCCATTTCCTTTTTCTTTTTTTTTAAGGATTTTTTTTTTAAGATTTTATTTATTTATTTGATAGAGAGATCACAAGTAGGCAGAGAGGCAGGCAGAGAGAGCGGGGAAGCAGGCTTCCCAATGAGCAGAGAGCCAGATGCGGGCCTCGATCCCAGGACCCTGAGATCATGACCTGAGCCAAAGGCAGAGGCTTAACCCACTGAGCCACCCAGGCGCCCGTTGTCCATTTCTAAACTAAAAATTACCCACCTCTAAACCTCTTGGGATTTTGTGGAAGCAAAAAGATCTAGATTCTGCCAACTATTAAAGGCATTTAAAGGTAGTGTTTTAGGCCTTTTAAGTAAAACTAAGTATATTATGACTCCTGGATTCTAGTGGCGTGAAATCATCTTTGTGCCGTCCTAATAAGCAGCTGACTTTGTCAAGGAAGACCTTAAGGGATGGACAAGAGTTAATGTTAAAATGTTTGAAAATTCTTATTCTAAACCAGAGTAAGAGTGGCACTTACCATAGCCTCGTGATAATTGCAATGCCGGCCTCAGTCCAGGGTTTTGGCATGCGAGGAAAGCTAAGTCTAAGTTTCTGACAGAGAATATAGGGTCATTTTACCTGCTTTAAGAAAATTAATTTGGTGAACTGTCCTCTCCTCCTTTCAGGTCCATGTGGATGTCCACAGCCGTTACAATTCTGTTGCCAATGAAACTTTTTGCCTTGAGATCATGGATAGTTTGAGGAGATGCTTAGGTCAGCAGGCTGATGTTCGACTTATGCTTTACGAGGTAAATCAGAATGGAAAGAACGTAGCAAACCTGAACTAATAATCCTTTTTATTTTTGTAAATTTTTTTCTGATATAAAAGTGTAGTTCACTCTTGTTTGATGCAATTAGGATTGGTAGTTTGTAATGGTTGGCCAAAATTCCAAACCCCCAGAAGAAAATCAAGATACTGAGAATAAACCACATTGTACAGTTTATGCACAATAAACCTGTCATTTAGGAAAGGCTTTGTGTCCGTGTAGAAGACTCTTTATTCCCAGATTCCCAGCCGCCCACCAAGGGCCAGTCTTGCAAGCAGGCTTTACTAAGGATAACAGTCTCAGACCTACTATGTTGACTCTTTTCTGCAGTCATCCATTTGCAAAAAAGAATCCCTGCCCTTATCTAGCTCCAAATTTTAAAAATTAACTTGATAAGGATCGTAGACTGATCTGTTAGGATATTGGTATTCATTTATTCATTAAAGATGATACATCATCAGTTTGTAAAAACTCTTTATATATTGATATTAACACTTGTGGTCAACTTTGTTGCAAGTGTAGGCCAGATTGTCATTTTCTTGGTGGTGGTGGTGATGACGATGATGGTGATACTTTTAGTACAAAAATACTAATTTTTGGTTGTTTAAATCTATTGATCTTTTCCTTTAAGATATGTTATTTTTATGTGTGAAGAATCCATAGCTTTCCAATGAATATTCACTAATATTTTCTTCTAGTTTTTTCTATTTTGTTTATCTGTTAGTCCATCTGAAATCGGTCTTGCTATATAATATATAAGGAGTTAACTTTTCTCCAGGTTAATCACTTGTCCAGACATTATTGCCTTCTTTCTGTGTACTAAGTCTGTTTCTACCTGTATACTATTCCTTGATTACATCTACAGATTTTTGTGCCAAGACCACAAGTGTCTTTTATCATTATACATTTGTAAAAAAACTTAGGGATAATTTTCTTTTGTGTCTTTTCTTTAAGAAAATTTTTAGGGGACCAACTCTCATTTGCTTTTTCTCAAAGATGAACTGTACAATCTGTTTTCCTGGTTCCAAAAAGAAAGTTTCCCCCAGGGTTTTAATTTAAATAGTTTTTTGGGGGGTGGGGTACAGAAGAAGGGAGAGAGAGAGGGAGAGAAGATCTTAAGCAGACTCTATACCCAGGGCAGAGCCTGACATGGCACTCGATCTCACAACCCTGAGATCATGACCTGAGCCGAAGTCTGGAGTCGAGTGCTTAACTGAGTGAGTCACCCAGGTGCCCCTTAATTTAAGTAGTTTTAAACTATGACTGGGAAATTCTGGATGGGAAGAAATACCACAGTCATTTACATTAGGCTGCTTAGGGCCAGGAAACACTTTCAAAGCACTAGAAACTTAAGTGGACGTAATGTCCTAGAAGGGAAGACTTAAGGATGGAGAGAAGAATGAAGCTTGGGACATTCTTCACCATAAAGGGAGCAGAGTACTCCAAAGCCAGAATTGACCTATTGTTTAAAAATTGTAACAGTTACGGTCAGTATATTAATCCAGTTCTCAAAGATCAGAGATCTCTTTTTAGGCAAATAATCTAAACTTCCTGAATCATTTCTCCTTCAAATATGGTCTCAGTCTTTTTCAAAGAATTGAGAATAGGGTAGAGAAAGAGTATTGTTTTAAATTTGTGATTGTTCATATCACTAGTGTATCTCTTAAAGAGCTTACTGTTTGTCTTCTCTCAGGGGTTCTATGATGTCCTTCGAAGGAACTCTCAGCTGGCTAATTCAATCATGCAGACTCTACTTTCACAGGTAATACACATTTTTTGTTTTCTGGATGTACAGAATAGATAATAAGGCATGGAGAGATGATGGACATTTTCCAGACTTTTCAAAATATAATTCCCAAATAGTTCCCTGGTTAGTACATTGTGAACATGCCTGGGTATGTGATGCTGTCATGATGTTTTATTTTAATTACCACTTATCTCTCTGCCCTGTTGCCATCATCTTAACAGTTATCCTCCCACTTAATGGTGTGCACCCTGAGTCAGAAGGACGCTTTAAAGAGCCATTTGTATAAGGGCTACCAGCAGCTGTGTCTGTTCATTTTACTTCTAAAAAGAAAAGAGAGATCTGAAGCAAATATTGTAAAATATGGACGTGTTAAATCAGGTCTACAGATCCATGGGTGTCTATAGGTTATTTTCTGTACTTTTCAGTTTAAAAAAGATTTTTAGATTAAGAAATATTTCATAGGATGATCACAATGAGAAGAATTCAGCTGGAGAATATTTGGCATAAATAAGACCTTTTATCCTGAACATTTACTTGTTAAGTGTTATTTAAATCTTCTTTGCAATTGCTTTATTGAGAAATAATTTCTATTCCTTACAGTTCACCCATTTAAAGTGTACAACTCATTGGTTTTTACTGTATTCATAGAATTGTCCAACCATCACCACAATAGGTTCTGGAACATTTCATCACCGCAGAAGCCTCATAGCCTTTAACTGCCACACCCTAATTTTCTCATCTTTCTCCCACTCACCTAGCCCTAAGCAACCACTAATCTGCTTTCTTTATTTTTTTTTTTTTAAGATTTTTATTTATTTATTTGAGAGAGAGACAGTGAGAGAGAGCATGAGTGAGGAGAAGGTCAGAGAGAGAAGCAGACTCCCCGCAGAGCCGGGAGCCCGATACGGGACTCGATCCCGGAACTCCAGGATCATGACCTGAGCCGAAGGCAGTTGTCCAACCAACTGAGCCACCCAGGCGTCCCACTAATCTGCTTTCTGTCTTTACAGATTTACATATTGTGGACATTTCATATACATGGAATCATACAATATGTGGTCTTTCGTGACTCGTGTCTTTCACTTAATGTTTTCACGGTTTATCCATATTATAGCATCTGTCAGTACTTCATTCCCTTTTATGGCTAAATGATATTTTATTGTTTGGTATTTGAGTCTTTTTATATATTGAGAATTTGTTGGCTTGTAACCCTCACAGAGCTCCCTGGGTATAATCTGAAACTTGCCTTTATGTTCAGAGGGCGGGGAGAGACTAGCAAGAGAGGCAGGCCGCTCCAGGTTGGTAGGTAGCAGTTTTAAGAAACAGAAAGAACTTAACGCGTAAGGCTTTTCTTGGACAGCAGCAAGACCAGCGCGTCTATGCGCACAGTCACCTGCCACATCGTAAAAGGCTAAATAGAGGCCTTAACTGGGCTTAGTCACATGGACTGTAGATGTTCTCAGCACCACATCACCATCTCAAGGCCATGTCCTTGGAGTGGCTGCTGGGAGCAGGAAAGGCAAGCAGAACCCACATTCCGAGGACAGGGGAGGGGAGGGGAGGACCGCTGATCCCCCATGTCCAGCTCATAGGTAAACTGGTGATCACATCTTCTTGGTAATTTCCCTAATAGAGTTCAGGATGCTTTATGTACTGGTAATAACAACAATACCTACTGCATCATAGAGAGGACCAGCTGTGTAGGAGGCATTATAGATGGGTGATGTCATTTGATCCTACAAAGCCCTGTGAAATAAAAATTGTTACCTCCATTTTAGATTCTGAAAGGTTAAGTAATTTGTCCAAGATCCCATAGATAGTAAGTGGCAGAGCTGGGATTTGAACTCAGATCTTCTTGGCTCAAGAGCCCAGGCATGAAAAACCTCATGTGAAAAAATACCAGATTAAAAACAAGGAGAATCTTTTCAACAAATGATGTTTTGAAAATTGTATGTTCACTTTTCTGAAAATGAACTTGGGTTCTTACTTTACGCTGTGCAAAAATTAACCCAGTATGATCAAAGACCAAAACATTAATAGCTAAAATTTTAAACTTCCTAAAATATAAGGGAAAGGCTTCATGACATTGGATTTGTTAATGATTTCTTGGACATTGATCAGAAGAACAGGTAACAAAAGAAAAAAGTAGTCTTCACCAGAATTAAAAACTTTTGTGTAGTCAGCACTGTCTACAGAGTGAAAAGGCAGTCCACAGGAGAAAATATTTACAAATCCTATCTGATAAGAGATTAATATCTAGGGTATAAAAAGAACTCCTACAACTCAACAACAACAAAAACAACCCAATTAAAAAATGCGCAAAGGCCTCGAATACGCATTCATCCTAAATATATATATACCCAAATAGCCAATAAACACAGGAAAAGATGATCAACGTCACTAATGACTAGGAAAATGCAAATCGTACCCACAGTGAGACAGCACTTCACACCATTAGGATGGCTACTATCAAAGTGAAAAATAACAGGTGGTGGTGTGTGTATACAGAAATCGGAACACTTGTGCATTAATGGTGGTAAGGGAGAATGGTACAGCTGCTGTGGAAAAAAGTATGGCAATTCTTGAAAAGAATTAAACAGAATTACCATTTGATCCGGCATTTCCCCTTTGAATATATACCCAAAAGAAGTGAAAGCAAAGATCTTGCATTTTTAATCCAATATGATACCCCTCTGGATGGCAGTGTCTAGTCAATTCACATTTAATGTGATTATTGTTATGGTTGGATTTAGGTCTGATATTTTGCTGTTTAATTTTTTTATGGACTTTTTAACTATAGTTTAAATATTTTTAAATTCTTTTTAAAGATTTGTTTATTTAGCGAGGGAGCACACATGAGAGAAAGGAAGTGGGGGGTACAGAGAGAATCTTCAAGCATACTTTCTGTTGAGCACAGAGCCCAACATGGGGTTTCACTCCACAACCCATGAGATCATGACCTGAGCCAAAACCAGGAGTCAAACGCTCAAACCCCTAAGCCACCCAGACGCCCCTCTTATTGTATTTTTAATTTTGCTCTGGAGGTTACAGTGTGCATCTTTAATTTATTACTATATATTTAGGTTAATAATGATACATTTCCAGTAAAATATAGGGACTTTGATCCATCCTCCGGCCTTTATGATATGGTCATACATGTTACAGATGTTAACTATATCTATGTTATATCTATGTTATGTATATGTAACTGTATCTATATTGAAATCCCAGCAAGACGGTGTTGTATTTTATTATAAATAGTTGTATTATGTCTTCTATAGAAATTAAGAGAAAAAGTAGTGCAGACGCATTCTGTCATACGTACCAGCTTCTTACCATTGCCGATTTCTTCATTCTGTGGACTCAGCTTTACCATCTTCAGTACCTTCCCTTCAGCCTGAGAAACTTTTTTTTTTTTAGTATTTCTACTGTGCAGGTCTGCTGGCGGTAACTTCTCTCAGTTTTCATCTATATAGAAATACATCATTTTGCCTTCATTTTTGAAGCATAGTTTCACTGGAAATAGAATTCTTAGTTGACAGTGTTTTCTTTCGGTACTTTGCATGTATCATTCCAGTGCCTTCTGGTTTCCATTGTTTCTCAAGGAGCCAATTCCTGAGTGAACCAATTACCGTGTCTTTGGTTTCTATATTTTCTATGTCATTTTTCTATTGCTCCTTTCAAGATTTTTCTCCTTGTCTTAGGGTCTTAAGAGTTTGTATGTTTACGTGTAATTCTTTCTATGTTTCTATTTGAGTTCATTAAGCTTCATGGGATCTGTAAGTTGATTCTTTTCACCAAATTGAAGAAATGTTCACTCATTATCTCATCAAATAGTTTTTCTGCCCCTCTCCTTTCATTCTGGGACTTCAGTTGTATATATATTGGAATGCCTGATTTTGTTCCACAGAACTTTTGAGATTTGATTCATTTTTGTTCAATATTTTTGACCCTTCAGATTTGATATTTTCTCATAATCTATTTTCAAGTTTACTTTTTACTTCTGCCATTTCAGATCTGTTGTTTTACTCTTGAATGTGTCTTAAATTTTAGCAAATGCATTTTTGTATCTATTGAAATGACCATATGATTTTTTTTTTTAATGTGTTACTGTGGTGAATTGTATTAGTTGATCTTGTAAACCAATATTGCACTCTCTGAGATAAACCCAAACTGATTATTATATATTTTTTGTACATTATTGGATTCAGCTTACTAGTATTTCATTTAGAATTTTTACATATATGTTTATAAGAGAATGGCCTGTAATTTTTATTTCTCATACTGAACTTCTTGGTTTAATATGACCTAAATGATTATTAACATCAGTTAAAATGACTGAGGACTGTTCCCTCTTTTTCTAGTTTGTATAAAATTTGAAATTATCTAGTTATTTCTTTTCTTCCTTCTCTTCCCTTTTTTGGAAGGCATGTGCTATGTTTCTTTAATCTAAACTTTGAATTTTTGGCTTTTTTTTCTTCAGACCACAGAAGTGATGTGAATTCTAACCCAAACTACATTTGGAGACTAGCTTACTCTTAGAAATTCCCGGGGGCGGGGGGGGCTTTTTTCCTTTTCTACTTAAAGTCAAGGCTCATTTAGGTATATATCCCTACCAGCCTTTTCCATATGATAGATTTATTTTTTTAAGGCTTATCCATAAAGGATATCTCCTTTTGAGAATTCCAGCTTTGTGTGAGGTTCTCTGATTCAGCCTTTCCCCCATGAGGGCCTAGGCTTCGTCTTCAGGTCCATGAGCCCTACAACTATAGCTGTAGGCCTGCAGAATTGGCAGGTGCTGCCTTAACACCAGTTTCAGAGTTCAGTTCACGTAGTTGCTAGAATCATGCTTTATGACATTTTCTAATATAAACAGATGTCTGAGGACTTCTCTCACTTTCTCATCATTTTAGCTACCTATTTAAAATTTTTAATACAATTTTTTAAATTGTTCTCTGCCAGGAGGGTTTCTCCAGACGCCTTGTCTACCATCTTGCTAAAAATGAAAGTTCTTTTTCTCTCCTTTTCCCCCACTTTTGTATGCCTTTGCTTTGTTACAGTTCTACTGAAGAAGCTGCCTTTGAAGTTAAGATCTCAGATGTGTAGAAATATTTGGAAGGTACTATACTATTTATCAAAAGCTTTCCTTTGGGCCTCAAGCCTGATCCTATATAAAATTCATATCCTGTTAACTATAGTATACATTTCAAACTGTAATAATCAGCTCATCAACATTCACACACTTAACAAGCAAAAAAAATTTGTGATGAAAGCATAGAACAGTGCTTCCCAACTCAGGTTAGTATATGGGCCAGTAAGACTGTGCAGACTTCAAAAGTAAAAAGAAGAAAAATAATGGCTAATGTTTCTTGAGCTCTGTTATGTGCTAAGTAGCGAGTTTGGTTTTTTGTTTTTTTTTTTCCCAGCACTTTCCATGTGTAAGCATGTTTAATCCTTACACAGCCTTATCGGTTTATAGTAATAATAATCTCACATGACAGATGAGGAACCAAGGCATGGATACTTTTACCAAAATTATTAACAAGTGGTTGTCCTGGGACTTGGACTTAGCCATTCTAACTCTGGAGCCTCTACTTAACTATCAAGCTATACTGAAAATGCTGATTGCTTATGCAGGTTTACGAATTGGTGTGAGAGTGTGTGATGTGTTTTGGAGAGTTAGTGGAAATGGAATAAGAAAGAATATCTCAACATGATGCCTGAAGCAAGGGTAAAGGACATGCTTGAGGCCAAGCAACACAAATTTTGCTACATTGTTCTTTGGACACTTGGGAAATACATCTTAGAAGGTATCAGACTTTAAAGTACCATTAGTTCGACCAGTGAAAGAAGTGAAAAGCATTCATGAGCCATGGTGTCTTTTTTTCATTACCATATATAGTTAAAACAGTTCTATGAGCCAGAACCTGATGTGCTGCCACCTCTGAAATTAGAAGCTTGTATTTTGACCCAAGGAGATCAGATCTCTCTTCAAGAACCACTGGTGAGTCTTTTGGTCCGTCTATAACCATTATTTTTACTGTTAAGTGAAAACATCAACCTTGTTGATAGAGGCAGTCTTCAGGAGAGACCTCTTTCCTGAAAGCACTCTTCCGGTTCTCCCAATGAAATTTTACTCTTAAATCTTCCCTCCTTAGCTTTCCTGATCCATCATCACGTTGGATCTGTCGGTAAGATAGCTCCGTGTCAACACTTTACTAAATCAAGACATCCATCACTTCCCCCAAGGAGCATTTTGTCTCCCATTTATTTATGACTCTTTGACTATATAATATACTTAAAATATACTTTGGAATGGGGAATGAAGGTCACCCAGTAGCAGATGTACCCAGGGAACCTGTTTCATTAGTCAGAGGCGGGGAGTGTATGATTTATGCTGAGCTAGAATTGGCATTCTCGAATCTTCAGGAGAACTGGGATAAGTTGTTTTTCCGTTCTTGTGCTCTAGCCTCAGAGAGACAGGGAAATGAGAAGATGAAAACTGAAACTTCACCATCCCAAGTAACTTAGAGCTCGTGACAGGGGAGGGAAGTGGTCTCTAAGTTGTCAGATCCTGCCTTCATAAATGGGCCTTCTTGTGTGTGCCACGAGATGGAGATGCTCTGTTGGTCTCCCAAAGATGCCCTCAACATAAGCCCCTGTCTTTAAAACAGCCTCTGGGACTCAGGGGTCAGAGAATTTCACTTGACAGCCTCCGTGGTATTTCCACCAGATCAGAAGTAGCACATTCTGATGTTGCTGTCTGAGGTGTCCAGTACTCACAAAGCCAGTTTTGGGGAAAGGTCAGGAAAGGATGCCTTTGTTGGTTCAATTTTTTCCAGTTTTGCTAATTGGGGTTGACTTAGTTTGTGATGCTTATGAGGAACTTCTTTGAGCCTTATAGGTAAGAATTTTATCTGTTGATTACCCACAGCCTCCTAAGTTGTCCCTTAAACACTCAAAAATGTTTACTATTCTCTTCTACAGGATCATCTGCTGTGTTGTGTCCAGCACTGTTTGGTCTGGTATAAGAGTAGAGTGATGCCCCTACAGCAGGAAGAAGAGGAGGAGGAAGAAGAGTTCTACCAAGAGTTAGAGGATATGTTGGAGTCTATTACTAATAGAATGATTAAGAGTGAACTAGAGGACTTTGAACTGGTAATTGCTTAATCTCAGGTGTACTGAGTGATGTAGGTTTTTAATAGCTTACTAATTTTTTTAAAGATTTTATTTTTAAGTAAACTCTGTACCCATCATGGGGCTTGAACTCACAATCTTGAGATCAAGAGTCACTCGCTCTACTCACTGAGCCAGCCAGGCACCCCCGTAGCTCATTAATCTTTACCTTGTGTCTTTTAGGATAAATCAGCAGATTTTTCTCAGAGCACTGGTGTTGGCATCAAAAACAATATCTGTGCTTCTCTTGTGATGGGAATTTGTGAGGTTCTAATAGAATATAATTTCTCCATAAGTAATTTTAGGTAAGGTATTGCTACGACTCTTTTTGCAATTTGAATACTCCCGTTTTATGTTGTGTTTTTTTTTGGTTTCTTAACTCTCACAGTACAGTGGGCACTGGACAGACCACAGGCTGTGACACTGTCTCTTGGGTGGACATCTAGCCTAAGACCAGACTGCTCTTTCTATCAGAGGACACCAAACATACACCACAGGGGTGGCAGTCTTTCATTTATTCCAAGTTCCCAGACCCTGAACTCAAGAAGTTCTGACTTCAATAGAGAAATTTGGTTTGGTTGGTAGTATTGGACTTGCATGCTCAGCCTTGACTGGTAGAAATAAGAGAGGAAAAAAATAACACAGATGGATTAGAGCTGGAACTTAATGCCAATTAATTCATTTATAATGTGTTTAAAAGAGAACATCTGAAGAAACATTGTGATGTCCTTATTATTGGGTGTGAAAGTAAACCACAGTATTGTGATGCTTGACCTTAATGGTCTCTTTCCTTTTATATAGTAAGAACAAGTTTGAGGAGGTTCTGAGCTTATTTATGTGTTACAAGAAACTCTCTGACATCCTTAACGAGAAAGCTGGTAAAGGCAAAACTAAAACGGCCAACAAAATGGAAAGTTTTTGGTCCATGAAATTTGTGTCTGATCTGCTCACTGCTCTCTTCAGGTAAGTTTGTAACAGTGCTTAAAGACATCTGTGCAGTAAAGAGAGTAACAGGTTTACTAGTATTATCTAGTTTGGATTCACAGTTCTGAGTGTATATGTAATAAATAAGTCAGGAGGTTTGTAAGTTTATTGATATGAAAGCTGGTGAATTCTAGGTAGGTCCTTTAAAGAACTACCTTGAATTATTAATAGAGGAAATTTAGAAACAGTGGCCTACTGACGAAAAGATAGGAATGGATCGCAATAAGGTATTCTAGGAAAATCAACCTGAGTAGCTTGAACACTGTAACAGATAAAAAGGGAAGAAAGAAAAACCAATGAATTGAAAAAGGAACAATAGTAACAAAACATGTAGGAAACTGGCATTTAAATCTTACCAAGTAAAGGAATTGGGGGAGGGGAGGAAAGGAGGTCACCCTGAGAAGGAAGGTTGTAAAAAGAAGCTGTGGCAGTGGCCGGTGTGGGCTGCCTGGAGGCTGTGGTTAAGAGCTTCCTAGGTCCTGCTCTTAAAACCTAATTCCGGATCCCAGTAGCAGTAACAGAATCTCTTCTCTCTCTTTCTCTCTCTCTCTCTCTCTCTCTAGGGACAGTACCCAAAGCCACGAAGAGAGCCTTTCTGTTCTGAGGTCCAGCAATGAGTTTATGCGCCACGCGGTGAGCGCAGCCCTGCAGAAGGTACAGCAGCTCAAGGAAACAGGGCATGTGAGTGGCCCTGATGGCCAAAACCCAGAGAAGGTCTTTCACAATCTCTGTGATATAACTCGGTAAGTCACTGTCCCCCTCAGAAACCTGTTTCACTTGCTGTGGAATCTCGAAGAGGGGAAGTTGGGGGTGGAGTTGAAGGCCGTTTGAATTTGGACATGCCTTAAAAGTGCACTCACTAGTACTGGGTCTTTTTTTCTAGTCCTGCTTTGATGTGGAGCATTAGGCACGTAGAAAATGTTATTCTCTTACCAGGAATAAAGAGGGCTGTTACCTAATGACATCAGCAGGTGGACATGACAACTTTAGCTGTATCTGCACCTAACAACAAAGGACAAAAATGCTTGAAGCACAAACTGATAGCACTGAAGGGGATAAAAATAACTCATCCCCTGTCAGGAATCAGTGGAGAACTGGTAGGTAGAATATCAGGAAGGACATAGAAGACTTGAGCTGCACTTGTCATCCGGCTTGACTTCCTGGGTCTTTATACAATATTGAACAACAGCTTCAGAATGCACATTTTTTTTTATGTGCACATGGTATGTTCATCAAAATGGACCCTGTTTTGGGCCATAAAACAAGCAACACATTTTTAAAATAGAAATCAGTATGTTCTCTGAGCACAACAGAATTAAACAAGAAAGCAGTAGCAAAAGTATTTTTAATTTTTAATAATCTTTTTTTAAATAACTGGATTATCCTTGTCTGGTTGGAAATTAAGTGCATTTCTAAATAACTCGTAGAGAGGAAGTCAGAAGTCAGAAAATATTTTGAATAGAATGAAAATGAACACTACATTTCAAAATTCGTATGATTCAGCTAAAGCAGTGCTTAGGTAGAAATTTGTAACTGTCCAGTGGTTACATTAGGAAAAAAAATCAAATCTCTACATTTCCACATTAAGAAAAGAAAAACAGATTAAAATGAAAGTTAGTAGAAGGAACTAAGTAATAAAGACAAAATAGAATCATTGAAAAAAGAAACAGAAAAATGAATGAAACCAGAAGCTGATTCTTTGAGATCAGTAAATGCAATAAATTGTAACCAGACTGATGAGGGAAAGAGAGAAGATACAAATATCAGATATGAGGAAGAAGAGATAGTCGCTACTGATTCTACAGACAGTAAAAATTGTAGTAACAGGATGCCAATAAACGGGATTGCTTAAATGGACAAATATTTTTGGAACTCTGGAATAGGTAAACTGAATAATCCTTTGCCTATATGAAGAAATTGAGAGGTGCTTGGCTGGGTAGTCAGAGGAGCATGTGACTCTTGATCTTGGGGTTTATAAGTCGAGCCCCACGTTGGGTGTAGAGATTGATTAAAATCAAAATCTTAGGATGGCTCGTCGGTTAAGCATCTGCCTTCAGCTCAGGTCATGATCCCAGGGTCTGGGATTGACTCCCGCATCCGGCTCCTTGCTCATCGGGGAGCCGGCTTCTCCCTCTCCCTGCCACTCCCCCTGCTTGTGCTTGCATGCGGCTCTCTTTCTCTGTCAAAGCAAATAAATAAAAACTTCAACAAAATGATAATATCTTAAAAAAAAAAAATTGAATTTGTGGTTCAAAATTTTCCCTCAAAGAAAACTCCGTACCTAGATGTCTTACTGGTGAATTTTGCCAGACATTTAAGGAAGAAATTATATAGGGCACCTGGGTGGCTCAGTCGGTTAAGCATCTGTCTCTTGATTTCGGCTCAGAGCATGGTCTCAGGGTCATGGGATCAAGCCCTGCATCAGGCTCTGTGCTAGATGTGCAACCTGCTTAAGACTGTCCCTTTCCCTTCTCCCCCCGCCCCCCACCAAAAAAAGGAAGAAAGAATACCAATTTATGCAAACTCTTCCAGAAAATAGGAGGAAACATGTCCTGACTCATTTCATGAGGCCAGCAGTTCCCCAGTGCCAAACCCAGTCAAAGACATAAGAAAACTGACCAATTTCCCTTATGAATATACATATAAAAAATATTAGCAAGTTAAGCCCAGGAGTTGTAAGAAGGATGGTGTGATTAAGTACAGTATTTTCTCAGGAATGCAAAGTTGGCTCAAAATATGTAAATGAGTCATAATTCATATCAACAGACTAAAGGAAAACACTCTGCTCATCTCACTAGATGCAGAAAATTCAACACAAATTTGTGATCAGATCTCAGCAAACTAGGAATAAAAGAATTTTATCAATCCAGAATTTTATCAATCCACAAAAACCTATGTCAGCAGCATACTTAATGATTAAACGGACTGAATGCTTTCTCCCCTGTGCTCTCACTGTTGCTGTTCAGCATTATACTGGAGGCAGTAAGACAGGAAAAAGAAATAAAAGGCATCCACAGTGGGAAGGAAGAAATAATAGGGTCTTCAGGGACATTATGGTTGTCTGCATAAAAAATTCCAAAGACATAAAAACAAACAAACAAACAAAAATTCCAAAGACATTTTTAAAAAGCTACTAGATAGATTAAGTGAGCAATTTAGCAAGGTTGCAGAAAGCAAGGGCAGTATTTTTAAAATTGTATTTTTATTTACATGCTAGCAGTGAACAATTGGAAATTGAAGTTTAAAAACAAGACCATTTACAGTAACATCATAAAATGTGAACTTACTGGCGAATCTAACATGTAAGATTTATGTGATGAAAACTCAAGCATTAGAGCACAAAGAAGACCCAAGTAAATGTAAAGATGGATTTTATGTAAAATGTAAAAATGTCCACAGATTAGAAGATTCAGTATTGTCAAGGTGTGAATTCTTTGCAGATTGACCCATAGATTCAACATGATTTTATTTTATTTTTTTTAAGATTTTATTTATTTATTTGACCGAGAGAGAGAGCACAAACAGGGGGAGAGGCCAAGGGAGAGGGAGAAGCAAGCTCTCTGCAGAGCAGGAAAAGCCCGATATGGGACTCCATTCCGGGACTCTGGGATCATGACCTGAGCTGAAGGCAGTGGCTTAACCCACTGAGCCACCCAGGTGCCCTCAACACAATTTTACTCAAAATTCTATCAAGCTTTATTTTAGTAATTGACAAGAAGATTCTAAAATTTATGTGGAAAAGGTAAGGACCTAGATTAACTAAAACAAGTTTGAAATAAAAGAGCCAAGTTAAAGGACTCACACTACCTGGTCTCAAGTCATATCAAGTTACTTTATTTAAGATAGTGTCGTATTGGCAGAATCAGTGGAGCAGAGTAGAACAGAAGTAGATCCCACAACTATGTTCATTTGGTTTTTGACAAAGGTGATGAAGTAATTTAATGGAGAAAAAGTTCTTTCAACAAATGGTTTTGAAACAGTTGGACATCTTTTTTTTTTTCTTTTTTTGTTTTTGTAAAGATTTTATTTATTTGACAGAGACAGCGAGAGAGGGAACATAAGCAGAGGAAAGGGGAGAGGGAGAAGAAGCTCCCCACTGAGCAGGGAGGCCTGTGCCAGGCTCAATCCCAGGACTCTGGGATCAGGGCCTGAGCCGAAAGCAGACACTTAACAACTGAGCCACTCAAGCGCCTCAGAACAGTTGGACATCCACTTTTCAAAACAATGAACCTTTATTCATTCCACACATCATAAAAAATTAACTTTAACTTAAAATGGGTCGAAGACCTAAATGTAAAACCAAAAATTGTAAAACATCTAGAGGAAAACAGAAAAATCTTTGTGATCTTATTTTAGATAAAGAGGTCTTAGAGCACCAGAAGCACAAGCTATATTTAAAAAAAAAAAAAGAAATTTAACTGTGCTCTTTGAAAAACACTCTTAAGGAGATTAAAAGACAAGTCACAGATGAGGAAATATTTGCAAAGCACATGCCTGATGAAAGACTGGTAACCAGAGTATATAAAGAACTCTCAAGCTTAAATAAGTTTAAGATAGCAAACGACCAAATTTAAAAATGGGCAAAATATTTGAACAGCTACTTTAAGAGAAGACCAATAGATGGCAAATAAGGACACACAAGGATGGTCAACAATAATTAGTTCATAAACTAAAAAATAATAAAAAGACTGACAATACCAAAATATCATGGATGTGGAGGCATTTGAACTCTTATACACCGTTGATGGAAATGTAAAAAGGTACGACCACTCGAGAAAACAGTTTGGCATTTTCTTCAAAAGTTAAGCACACACCTACCATATGAGCTACACATTTCACTGTTAGGTATTTACCCAAAAGAAGTGAAAGCATCTGTCCATATAAAGGTTTGTGATTTGCAGCTCTGTCCATAATAGAACTTGGAAACAACTCACACATCTGTATCCAGTTGAGTGGAGAAACTGGTACATGTGTACAGGGGAATGCTACTTAGCAGTTAAAGGGGATAAACCACCCACACGTGCCACCGCACAGCTGAATCTCAGAAGCATGTGCTAGTAGCAGACTAGACTCCTAAGAGCTACCATTTTTACCTGCTGTTTTGTAAATAACAAAACCATAGGGAGAGGAATCAGATGAGTGATTGGAAAATCGGTGTGTGGGCGGGGGGTACAGAGCGGTGTAAGGAGCTTTTGGGATGACAGAAATACCTTGGGTGTGGGGATGATTACACAACCGTATAAGTTTGTTAAAATGCATTGAACGGTACATGTACAGGATGTCAATTTTATGGCATATAAAACTGTACCTCCCTGAACCTCACATTAATAAAATCACTTTTCTGGGGCGCCTGGCTGGCTCCGTCAGTAGAGGGTGCGACTCTGGATCTCGGGGTCGTGAGTTCCAGCCCCATGTTGGGTGTAGAGCGGACTTAAAAATAAAATCTCTCATTAACCACTTTTCTCTTTTACAGGGTCTTACTTTGGAGATACACCTCCATTCCTACTTCAGTGGAAGATCTGGGAAAGAAAGAGAAAGGGAAGAGCATCTCCCTGCTGTGCTTGGAGGGCTTGCAGAAGGTCCTCAGCGCTGTGTCGCTGTTCTATCAGCCCAAGATCCACCACTTTCTCAGGGCTCTGGGTGAGCATTTCAGCTTTGCTAAATTGGCTTCCTGTGGGTTTCTCTTTCTTAACCAAACCTCTGGATTCTATTTGCTCATGTACCAGAGGACACCTGAGAGCAGTCCTAATGTTGCTAAGGAGTGACATCTAGTGGATTCAGAATTGGCATTTACTGGCTTTTACACGTGACTGCAAATTGAAAGACAGTGCTATAAAATTGCAGAACGTTAGGGATACATTTAAATCTGCCCCCAGACTGGTTGTTTTTTTTTTTTTTTTTTTTTTTTTTGGCTTTCTAAAATTTTAGCTTAATGTTAAAAGGCCAAAAAAGCATAGGAAGTCAGTTCATTTCAAAGAAGATCACGTTCTTTTCCTTTCCTAGATGTCACAGATAATGAGGGAGAAGAGGCGGAAGACAGCATCAGTCACAGAGCAGCGTTCCAGATCCGGCAGTTCCAGGTAGGAGGCCCGGGCACGCTGCCCTGCTTGCCTGAGGGCCCTGCAGGGGGACTGTCGGCTGGGCCAGCTGGTGGGGGTGGGCAGACAGCGAGCGAGAAGGATGGGATTTCTGGGTCATCATCCAAACAGCAGGACATAACTCTGTGCGTGAAGGTAATGGCCTGTGGCACCGTTGCCTCCGAGAGTCACTGAGTTGATAAGGGAGGTAGCCTGGAGCCCATTAGTGTATGGAGCACGTCTTCGCTTCGTGCGCGTGGTATGGTCTGGCTTCGTCGGATTGCACAGACCGGACAGTGAAGCTTGCCAGTCTCTAGTCAGTGGTTGTTACAATATCAGGATCTTCTGTCACAGAGGATTTCTTTAACAAACAATTACAGAGTTCCTGCTGTGTGCCAGGGACTGTTTTAGGTGTTGGGGGTGTAACAGGAGAAAAACAAAATCCCTGCCCTTGGAGAGCTCGCACTGAGTGGGGAAAGCGGCTGACAGATAAGAGTATTTCAGGTGGCAAGAGGGAGACAGGGCAAGGGAAGGCCCAGCAGTGCTGGGGCTGGGGCACCGCCCACTCCCGACGTCTGTGGAGGGCCTCAGGGTTACGAGCTTCCCAAAGTCGGGCGCACTGCATTGTTCATTCCTAACGCCCATTTGGCAGGGGGTTAGAGGAGGAGTCCGTAGTTTTCAAGGGAACACTCAGATTTGGGTCGAGAACGGGGTAGGAAACAACTTGTTCAATCCAGGTTTATTTTCAGACTTTGTCCTCTTGGGATTTTGATCGCTTTGAATCCTTTCTGTCCCGGCCTTACGAGTCTCTGGCTAGATGTCTCTTCTCCGTGACAGGAACATGCCTGCTAACGTTTCCGCGTGTACCTTCCTTTCCCAGAGGTCTCTGTTGAACTTACTTAGCAGCCAAGAGGAAGATTTCAACAGCAAAGAAGCCCTCCTGCTAGTCACTGTTCTCTCCAACTTGTCCAAGCTGCTGGAGCCGTCCTCCCCTCAGGTAGAAGCACCGCTGCTTCAGCCCCCCGCGGCCCTCCTCGGAAGGCCAGGAGTCCTGCATCTTAAGACATACAGTTGACCCTTGAGTAACACGGGCTGGAACTCTGTGGGTCCCCTTATGCAGGAATTTTTTTCTGATAAATACAGCATAGAACTGTAAATATCTTTTCTCCTGATGAGTTTCTCAATAACCTTTTCTCTAGCCTACCTATTGTAAGAATACAGTTTTTAATACATACAACACACAGAATAAGTGCTACTTGACAGCTGATACGATCGGTAAGGCGTCTGGTCCGCGGTAGGCTATTAGTAGTGACGTTCTTGAGGAGTTAGAAGTTCTCCATGGAGTTTCGACTGCTAAGGGGGTCAGTGCCCCTAACCCTTGTAGTTTTCAAGGATCAACTGTATATATCTAACTGTCCTCTTTATATCTCTAAGTAGTAGAAGATCTGGAAAATGCACCCTTTCTCACATGGTGCTTCTACCATGGCGTAATTACATGCAGCCGTGGAGGGCACGAGCATACGGCTCTTGGTTTGGCTGCTGCCCTGACCCTTGTCAGCAATAAGCACTCTGGAAAAAAGATCTTGTTTATCTTTGGTTACTTCAACCTTCTTAGCTTGTGTTTTTACTCACTTTTGGTGTTTGCTCTTTTCTAAGAGGAAAGTGTATGAATTATCGTGAAGGTAGCTGACATGGAGCACTTGACCTCAGCAAGGTCGGCTGGTGCGAAGCTTGGGAGAAATTCAGCAAAAGGGGATTAAGTCAGAAAGCGTGACTGTAGTCCCAAAGCAGAAGGAACTCTGTGAGATGGGTTGTGTGTATGTGCACGTAGGTAAGCACACGTCCGTAGAAACGTGGACCACCTGAGCGCTCACACACAGGGAAGAGAGGGGCCCCATTTTCTGGGTCTGATCCATTCTGGAGCAATTTCCCTATAGGATGCCGTAGAGCACCCTTGATGCCTTGGGCTGTGTGCTCCGACCACATCTGCTTCCCGATCCGTGAGGAAGACTGGCTCCCCATGTGAGCCCTTGCCTCCAGAAGAGCTAGTCTTTAGCGGACTGTAGCCTGGGAGGACGGCGGTGCCGGAGTGTTGCAAAGACAGCCTGAGCGTCCTGTTCCCATTCCCGGTGGCCCAGAGAAAGTCTCTCTTGCCAGCCACTCCTGTCATCCTAGCACCGAGCCTCTCCTCCCGCTCTGCCTTCCGCCTTCTTGTTTCCTGCTGCTGCAGCAAACAGAACACGAGGAAGGAAACAGCCATGGGGCAGTGGGGCTGGGGGAGGTTTGAGGGAAAGTAAATGGATTTCGAAAGGCTCATAGATACAGGATAATTTTTTTCATTCAAAATGCATGACCCACCTATCCCTGTAACTTCAGGTACTCTCTCCCAAATTTTTTTACATTTCATTTTGAATGGATAATAAAGTCCTGTGATTTGAGAACCGGAAATGGTAAGATTTGCAGCGAACGGTCTTCCTGCTGTCCCTGTCCTCCGACACCTGCTCAGTTCTTTCCGCCCAAATAAGTAAATAACCCTTTTCGTTTCTGATGTGTCCTTCAAGAGTTTCTTTATTCCTGCGGACGCAAATATGAACATGGATTCTTATTCCCAGCCCTGTCCGTCTTCGCGCAAAAGCTTGTTTGCCTCCTGCTTATTACTTCAACACTGTGTTCTGGAGATCTTTTTACATCCGTTCATAGAGACCTTTCAGAATTAGCCTCTGAATTTATTTTTTACCCCAAGAGGTCAAACGTTGAGTTATTACTGCACTTAAGCGCACTGCACTTCTTCGCCTTTATGGCTGAAAACCTGTTCCAAAGAGCTACTGAAGTGAGCTTGAACGTGCATCCGGCAGCGCAGGGCCCTGCTGCCCCAAGACCTAGAGCCTCCTCTCCTTACCTGAGAAAACTCTGTCTGGGGTGCTGCTTCTTCCTTTTTTTCCTTGCTCCTTTCTAACCTCCTCTGGCCTTTTGGCTCCTAGAGGCTGATCCTGCTGTCTTTACAGCCAGATCTTACTCTCCTCTCCTGCATCTCTCCGGCAGACTGACCTCCTTAAAGATGTCTCCGATGTGAAGTGTGTGAGGCATGGGAAGGGGAAAGGCGTGTTAGCCCTGGACCATGGTGGGAGTGGGGGGAAGAAGCCTAGAGGGCAAGAGCCTAGATGCCAGGACCTTCAGCCCTTCATGAGAGCACAGACTTTGAGAATTGAGTCATATGTTACTGTGTTACAAGAGAAGGATCTGTAATTCTTACAATTCTTGGCTTATTTTTATGCTGTTGGTAGAGTTCCACCTTAGATGCAGGAGCATGTTTTGGCAGGTGATGAGAATCAGAAAGGTGTCTTGTAGTCTGACAACAACTAGATTTGTCTGTCTCGTGGCATGTTTCTTTAATATCTGAATGTTCTCTAGTTCGTGCAGATGTTATCCTGGACATCAAAGATTTGCAAGGAAAACAACCACGGTAAGTTTCCTTCCTTGTTTCCTTTTAGGCTTTATGTAAAATCATCATTTCCAAATAGTATTTAGAAAAGGAAAGGTACTGGGGCACCTGGTGGCTCAGTGGGTTAAGCCTCTGCCTTCAGCTCAGGTCTTGATTTCAGGGTCCTGGGATCCAGCCCTGCATCTGGCTCTCTCCTCTGCGGGGTGCCTGCTTTCCCCCTTCTCTCTGCCTACTTGTGATCTCTTTCTCTCTGTCAAATAAATAAATTAAATATTTTTAAAAAAAAAAAAAAAAGGAAAGGTCCTCATTACATAGTCACTAGAATGACCAAAATGAAAAAGAGCCACGCCCATGGCTGGTAAGCATTCGGAGTGGTCGGCCCTCCCGCTCAGCGCCGGCGGAGGGCTGTGTTCGTGTAGCCAATGGAGGACTGTTGGGCGGTGTGTGCTCACGGCCCAGCAGCCCCACTCCGGGCCCCGCAGGCCGCCGGGTTCTCCCGGCAGCACTGTGTCCGTAGGCAGAAACAAACCCATGTGTCGGCCGGCCGCGGAGGGGTGAAGGCGCAGCGATGTGCACACGCGGCCGAACCCTGAGCAGCTGTGAGAACGGCGGGCCACCAGCACCCAACACGCAGGGATTGCACAGACCCGCCGTTGAGAGGGAATGCTTCCCGCATGAGTCCATCTAGATGAGGTTCAAAGTCGGACACCCCAGATGTGATGGTAGAAGTCAGGAGAGCAGGTGCCTTGCTGGGGTGAGTGAGGTAGGAGGGGGTTGCTGGGGGCGTTGGTAGCGTTCTGTTTCTTGATCTGGGCGCTCGTTCCTCAGCCGTAGTGACCGGAGAATGATAGGAAACCTCTGCCTTGTTTGGCCCCGTGGACACGAGTGTAGCTTGTGGGAGAGCTGCCTTGGAAGGACAGCCCTGGGATCGTGTACGTGGGACGCGACAGGCTGCGTTTCTGGTTAGGCCCCCTGTGCCCCGAAGACTGACTGGGTCAGAGCTTACCTTTTCATTTTCTTTCCTTCCCACTCTTAGAGGATCCCTCGTTTTGCAAGGGCTTGATGCATCTGCTCTTCAGCCTCCACGTTCTGCACAAGAGTCCCGTCCCCCTGCTGCGCGACCTGTCCCAGGACATCCACGGCCATCTCGGAGACATAGACCAGGTATGGCAGCGAGCCTTCGCTGCGACCCGGGGGCTGGGGCTGGGGCTTGGGGCCCAGCCTTCCCGCAATCCCATCTCCTCTCTCTGCCTCCTCAGGATGTAGAGGTGGAGAAAACGGACCACTTCGCGATGGTGAATTTGAGAACAGCTGCCCCTGTTTGTGTAAGTGTGGACCACCAAGCCATAGGAAACGGCCTTGTCATTCCTCCTGTGTCACTCCCTGCGAAGAGCACACTGTAGTGGCTCGTGTTTCCGGATGGACCCGGTGGTTCCGTTGCTCCAACAGCGGCGCACAGGGAGCCATGCCAGGCCTTCTTTTCTTTTACAGTTGCTTGTTCTGAGTCAGGCTGAGAAAGTCCTAGAAGAAGTAGACTGGCTGATCGCCAAGCTTAAGGGACAAGTGAGCCAAGACATTGTCTCAGGTAAGGTGCGCTCAGGGTGGAGTCACAAGGATTGTGATGAGAGCGAGTCCCCGTAATCCAGATTGGACGGTTGCATAAAAGTGCAGCTCGTAAGCCAGTGAGGGGGGAAAAAGTATGGTTCGTTTGTTAGTTGGCTTGAGCCGGATTTCCAGTGCGATGGAAAAAGTAGACGGTGGTGTGGCTTATGATAGAAGGGCTGTTGATTGACTCTGCACGATGAATTACATGCTCGTTGTCCCCACAAACTTCCCGTTTCATCGCGGTTAGTAGATTTCTAAATCTCCTTCATTTTAACTAGAAAATAAGGTCAGTGGTTTTGAGTGTGCCAATTTCATTTCCCTCCAGAAGAGCCCTCCTCTCAGGCAACCCGCCCACATCATCCCATCGAGAAAGCCATCATCATGCAGCTGGGAACTCTGCTTACCTTCTTCCACGAGCTCGTACAGACGGCCCTGCCGTCGGGCAGCTGTGTGGACATCTTGTTAAAGGACCTTTGCAAAATGTACACCATTCTCACAGCACTTGTCAGATATGTGAGTATCCGGGAGATGACCCGCGTCCCTCCTGCTGTGCCGCCCCAGCCAGCTGGAGACCCAGCCGGGGCCCCGCTCTCCTTGGGGAAGGCCCCCGTGCAGAGCTCTTGCCTATCCCTGTGCAGGCTGTGGTTTGATGCTGGTTTGGTCAGTAGGTGGCAGGTGTCTCCAAAGGCCAGGAAGAAATAGCAGTTGACGGCATAATTCTAAATCTTTTAGAGGCATCCCCCACCCTTTTTGGGGGGGTAGGGGGCATATAAGTATGTGGCACCTGCTTGAGAGTGAGCACCTCTTCGAACGCCTTCTAGGACTTAATCTAATCTACGGCTGCAGAATTCAGCGGACACTTCATTGCACACAAAATGGTACTATTTCAAACCAGTCTGGGCACTAAAGAGCTGTTTATTCCTTATTTTGTTCCTTTAACAAGTAGGTGTTAAATGCCTTACAGGTCAGGTGCATGAGTGGGAGAAAGGTTATTAATTTTAAATGCGAGGCATATTCTGCCCTGGGTTTGAGTTGATGCTCTCTAGTGTCTGTTAGCAGGGAACCCTTCTCCTGCACTTGGAATAGTTTTGGTCCTCACTCAGCAGACACTCAGCAGGAGGTAGGCACGGGTGATGTGGTTCTGATTCTAGCAGTGATCCATGTTAAATACCCAGAAGGGCCTAGACAACCCAGAAAGGACGGTAGACCGCCGTGTGGTGTCCCCAGGCAGCAGCACGGCCATCTCAGAAGGTGCAGCTCTGGCCACACGGTGTGTCTCTTAAACTTCCCTGCTGGAAATACTGAAAGCCTCTTCTCTTTACTGGCATTTTTAAAGGAAAAACGGGAAAGTCACTGGTTTTCTAGATGCAGGAGCCATTGGCCTAAAGAGCTTTTAAGGCAGTAAGATAAGGAGTAAGAAACGGAAGCCCTTCGTTCATTGTCTGTGCCTGGGAGGCTCAGGAGCTTTGAGGAAGGAACAGAGGAAGCCTAGTGCTAGGATTCTCCATGAACGTGCGAGCTTGTTTCCTTTGCCTATGCCGCCAGCAGCGAGTCCCACTCCCTTAGCTCGTGACTCTGCTGCAGGTGTCCGGGGACGTTGACCGAGGATGTCAGCTAATCTGGGAATCTTTGGTTAGTATCTCCAGGTATGTCAGAGCGCCGGAGGAATTCCGAAAAATATGGAAAAGCTGGTGAGTTGAAGATGCCTTTCCTGGGAATGGGGGAAGCCATCCCTTCCTGCAGTTACATTGGTTTCCTTCTCTTTTGCGCAGGTGAAGCTGTCCGGTTCTCATCTGACCCCCCTATGCTATACTTTCATTTCTTACATACAGGTGAGTGACTCAGTCAGCACCAGAATAGATCTGCCGGGAGGAAGGGACTTCTTGTGTCTCCAGGGGACTGCTTGGTCCCGGGAGCCCAGTGTCCGTGCAGTTTCTTCGCTACTTGCCATAAGCCAAAGGTGCCCACTTGGAAGTGGAAGCCAAGGCTTGAGGTATTTACAGCAAAGAGACCTTTAGTCATGCAAAGAAAAAAGTTTTTCTTAATTTGGAGAAAGCGGTCTGCTTGCATTGGGAGCAGGGAAGGAACATGCATGCTGGTGCTGCGACTTGGTTCGTGTTGACTCTAAATCGAGCCGTGGGCCGTCCTGCGGCGAGTGAGTGAAGTAGCAGCGGGCACACGAAGGCTGAGGTCCGACGGTGCACGTAGGTGGGGGCCCAGCCCTTCCACGGAGCGGAGGGGAGGTGGGCCGGTCTCCTCAGGTGCCCAGACCCCTTTCTCCTCCTCCTAAATGAATAAAGTAATGGGCTCCTGCAGGACTAGGAGAAATTTTCAGTGTCCGCCAGTCACAGATACCACCAGGTTCTTGTCCTACCTGACGATTGTTACTTTGGCTTATTAAACGGGGATTTAGGCCTCTGCGTTATGGACATCTCTTGAGCCAGATAATTCCTTGATGTGCGGCCTCTAATGTGCATTCTGGTTATTTTGCAGCGTCCTGGCCTCTGTCCACCAGATGCCAGTAGCGGCCCTCAGTTGTGATAACCAGAAATGCCCCTAGAAATTCCCAAATGTCCCAAAAGGGCAAAATCACCCCAAGTGGAGACCTTGTGGCTTCAATACATGACTACCCACAGTCCCCCAAGGCCACTTGGTCACAGGTCGAGTGAAGAGAATCACAGGCCACTACTAATCTTCACCGAACCGAGCAGATGTGCACTGAGTCAGCCTTGACCGAAAGTCCAGAACCAGTTGTTACAGCAGTGGGTTGGGACCGCTTTGTAGTGGTGCCCACGTGCTTTCTGCCTCTGGGCTGTGCACAGACACATCTTCCCGTCGGGAACTGTTTCATTCTGTGCCTGAAGGGGGCTCCCTCCCCTCCCCTGGTGCATCCGGGACCGAGGGGCCGGTCACCTGGGTTCGGCCAGAGGAGCTCCGAGTCGTGTGCTGATAGCTAAGGTTCTGTCATCTTGCCTTTGTACCACGCTTGCGATCTGGGTCAGGCCTCCCGTTTGGCCACAGCGTATGGCCTGCTGTCACCAAGCTGTTGCTTCTGGCCTCTCCTTTAATCTCGCCTGCGTGCTTGCTCAGAAATGTTCACGTAGGTGCCGTCCTGTCAGACCCGTCTCCTGTCTGAATAGGGGATGTATCCCTCCTCCCCTCGGTCAGGTTTGGAGTTCCCCATCTCCAGGAAGGCCCCGTTTCACAGAGTTCACTGTACAGACTGAGACGGTCCTCGGAAAGGAGGAACCTGCGCAAGTACGTGTACATGTCTCTCACCTTAGAGATTCACGGTACGCGTGAGCACGGTGAAGCTGCTGAGAGGTCCCACGCTGATTAAATACGTTCAGTGTGCTTTTCAAGTTCAAGGACTTCTTTTCTTTTTTTCCTTTTTTAAATAACAAGTGCTGTTTGGCAGAATAGCAGTCCAAAGAGTACAGCTTGGAAACCAGTGCTGTAAGACCATATTTGTTTCACCAGAGCGGCCAACACGCGGAGAACCCTCCCCGGGCTCTCTAGGACCCTGGCCTGGACTTAGGTCAGGCTTCTCTCCATCAGCGCCTTATTCCTCCTCACTGCCTCGTGAATCAGGAGTTGCCCCGTGTAAGCGACTGGCAAGGAGGAGAGGCGAATGCAAAGAACAAGAGCCAGTGCAGAGGCAGACACTGAGCCCAGGTAGTCTGACCCCACAGCAGGGCTCAGCAAACGTTTTCTCTAAAAGGCCAGAGAGTAAACGTTGCGGGCTGTGGTCGGTTACGCTGCCCGCCTCTGCCGTCGCGACAGGGGCAGGTAGAGGCCGCCTGGGCAGCGGCTCGGACGAGACCAGCAGGGGCTGGATTTGGCCGGCGCCTGCTCCAGGACCCGCTGACGCTGGTGGGCGTGTGAGCCCTTAGAGGGCCTTGAGTTGGTGTTTCTCAGCCCATTCTCAAGCACTGTCTGCTGTGCGTCTCCAGGCTTCTCCTAGACCGTTTCCCCCCATTACACAGAAACCAGTCCTCAGGCTGCCCTCCCCAGCCGCACCCGCGGTTGACTGGAAGCCGTACTGACGAGTCGGCTGATCCACAGCCAGACGTTCTCCTCGGACGGTGAGACATGCTTCGTGAGCAACCTTGGGCAAAAAGCCTCTGGTTCCGTTAGTTCCAGCCAGAAACCAGGATTGCACTTCCCACGTGCTTCAGAGAGCTGTCTGTTCTCTTAAAGCCGCTTCTTTTTTCCCCCACAGCCTTGGGTCTCTGTCAGTGGGACGCAAGCAACGGAAACCAATACTGCGAACCCCTTAGCGTCCTGCTCCGAGCTTGCCTCTTCACGCCTCTTGGGGCGCCTGGCGGGGCTCAGTCGGTTAAGCGTCCGCCTTCAGCTCAGGTCATGATCCCAGAGTCCCAAGACTGAGCCCCACGTCAGGCTCCCTGCTCAGCGGGGAGTCTGTCTCTCCCTCTGCCTGCCACTCCCCCTGCTTGTGCTCTCTCGGACAAGTGAAATCTTGAAAAATAAAAAAAACATAAAAGATGCCTCCTCCAGCTGGGATTTTAGTCCTCCTGAGTCACCAGGAATGGGCAGTGGACAGGGACCGATTGAAGCATTTTCAGCAGAGTTCTGTCCGTGGCCGCCTCCCCGCCCCTCTCTTCAAAGGGCCTCGCCCTCTACCCTGTGTTCCAAGGCTAAAAGTAGACTTCTTCACACCAGCCCCTCTGGAGACCCTGCCATTTGTTTCCAGAACATGCCACATGGGCTCCTGCTTCTCCTGCGGTTCCAGTGGTATGGTTCTCGCCATTTTCAGGTCTCTGTTTCTCATTCTCTGACTTGTTGCCTGGGGCGGGCGTGTTCATCCCTAGCAGGCACAGAACGCCCCTTGAGGTAGAAGTGCCCGTGTTTTGCGTAGCTCACATGCGGTGCTGGTCTGTACTCTGCCGCCTTATCCTCGGTTCCCTTTATTCTGTGCCCAGGAGCTCTTTATTCTGCGATACTGACAACACAGGCAAGTGTTCCTATAACCTTTAAACCCTTCTCAAGCTCGTAACCACATGGCCCATGAGACATGCCTGCCGTCTGCCCCTAAGTGGAAAGACAGAAGGCCCTGGGAGCCACCTCTCTGGTTTCCTCTCCTTCGTGGAAACCCTTGGAGCCAACTGCCCCGTGGGGAAATCCGAATTCCTGCCGCCATCCTGACAGTCCCCATTGTCACCATCCTCTTGGCTGGCCTGGTGTAAGAACAGTCCTGCCTTCGCTTCCATGTGCTACTTCTAAGAGCAAGATCGTAAACTTCCCAACAAGACCCCCAAAATAGCTGAGGGTCATAAAGTGTCACAAAATGTTCCCCATTTTCCAGCATCTGCCGCTGCTTCTCTCTTCACCCAGACTTGGTCCCCTTACGAGGCCCCCCCACGTTCTGCCCCCATGTTCACCTTCTTAGGAAGTTACCACCAGCATCTCCGACAATGAGAGAATTTGTTTCTGTGTCTTTAGAACAAGAAGAGTCAGAGCCTGAAATGTACAGGAGAGAAGAAGGGGAAAGCGGCCGTCGTTGCCACAGCCATGGTAAGCAGCCACCGCTCGCGCGCACACACAGGTGCTGGGGGACCGTGACAGCATGCAGGGACAGAAGCCGGTCCCTAGGAGCCCGCGTGCGGCGGGATTCCATTTACAGGGCAGGTCCAGGACAGGCAGATCTAGAAAGATGGAACGTACATTAGTGGTTGTCCAGAGCCGGGGGAGCCTGCAGAAATGGGTAGCGATTCCTGCGGGGGATGAAAATGCCCTGCGCTTGGTCATGGCGGTGGCGCTGCAGGCTGTGTGCTTCGTAGCTCGTTAACGCTCTTACCGAAACGTGCGTGGGGCTGCTGCTCGGCTCAGACTGTGTTCAGAGGGAGCGTCTTTTTCCTCTGAACCAAAAGCCACACATTTTATTTAGGAAGCACTCGAACATCTTAAGCTTTTTCTTTAAAAAGGACAATGGTTTAGGATTCTCATTGGGAAGGAGTTGTTTTAGGAAAAGTTAATGAGCCCAGAAGATGCTCCCTGAAGGACATGAAAGGGGCAGGGCGGGAGCAGGGACAAGGTCGCTCTAGGACGCTGCTGGCAAAGGTCCCGTCCGCAGCATCGGGGGCAGCTGCCGGATTTCAGGAGCTCCGCCCCCGCTCGTGCCCTTTCCCACAGGTGTGCTTGCCAGGAGTGGAGGCTAGAAGCCCGCGTACAGGAGGGTGCTAGCGGTGTGGTTCTGTAGAAGCAAGTCCTGAAAAAAACGAGATGCCTACCAAGTGGACTGGCTAAATGGGTTGGATAGCGCATCATACTGTAGGACACGGGCCTGAGAAAAATAAAAGTTTAATGTTCAGATATAGAATTATCTCCGAAGTTATGTGGTTTTTTTTTTTCCCCAAATCCTCATTCGTGGCCTTTATTAAATTAAAAAAAACACATCAGTGTGCACCAGAATGAGCTCCTGGTGTTGAGGTATCAGGTCAGGGACGCAACCAGATTTCTCCAAGTGGCCCTTTCAGCCGGTCTACAAAACCGTAAATACCGAGGGAGTTCCAGTGGGAGGATTCAGTGCTCTTGCCCGTCCTCTGACGAGATTAACTGCCAGAAATCCGGGTTACCAGAACCTAAGGAACCCTGCATTTGATTGGCAGACAGACCAGCTTTCTCCTGCCGCGGACTGCTTCAGAGGACAGACTTCAGAAACCTCTGAACCTGAAACTCGGGTCTTCCCTTCTTTGCCCTGCAGGCCAGAGCTCTCCGAGAAACCAAGCCCATCCCTAATCTCATCTTCGCCATTGAACAGTATGAAAAATTCCTCATCCACCTTTCGAAGAAGTCCAAGGTAAACACGCACAGCCGTTCCACTGTCCCCGCGGACCTGGGAGGGGCCGTGCAGGCTAAAGCTGCACAGAGCGGTGGGGAAGAAACCAGAACCCTGCGCGCTCTCTGCTCCACGTGCTCCGAGGGCCTGAGTTCAGCCATCACTTGGGAGCTCTGGGAAGAGGCCATGGGTGTGCATGCTTTAAGGAGGAACTGAAGGGTCGTTGAGGCCGTCCCCGGCGGGGCCTGTTCTGGCCGGAGGAGAACGTGCCCACAGCCCAGTCCTGCCCTAGGTGAACCTGATGCAGCACATGAAGCTCAGCACCTCGCGAGACTTCAAGATCAAAGGGAACATCCTGGACGTGGTTCTCCGGGAGGAGGCGGCGGACGAACCCGAAGAGGTCAGTGCCTGCCTCCAACCAGAGCACGGAGGCCAGCTGCCTCCTAACTGGTTGGGTTGTGGGAAGCCTCGATGGGAGCAGCCCAGGAGGGCGGGGAGGCCCCCCAAAGGAAAAGCTAAGGCGGGCACGGCCAACACTACGGGCTGCGCATTTCAGACCACACGGAGTCCCCCACATTGGCACACAGGTGGGGCAGACCTTTCTGGAACAGGGGTGAGGACACAAGTTCTTACCGTGGGTCTTCCTCACGACCTTCTGAACGCCTGGAAGGTGACTAGCCCCAGGCTTGCGGCTTAGCAACCAGTTGGTAAAACCTCTCTGCCTGGCTCGGCTGCGGCTTCTTCCAGGTCCCCCGCCCCCCTGTGCCCTTTAGTTGTGCGGTTGTAGACCCGACCCCAGGCAGCTCCCCGTGCTGCCGCAGCTCGGGTGTGTGTAAGGTGGAAGTTCACACTGCCGGCTTCTTAGCCAAGCTGCGTTCTCCACATGACCCCCCGCAGGCGGTAACGCGCCTGGCCCCATGCCCGTCCCCAAGCGGGCAGGGGGCTCAGGGGGAGCACGGAGGCGCCTGCCCTCTCGCCCCCTGCCTCTGCCCTGCGGAAGGGCCTCCGCGCTGGCTGCTCAGCCCCGTGGCAGGCCTCCCTGTTCGTCCACAGAACCGCCTCTCGGAGCGGGAAGGGGAGAAAGCAGGACTACCACAGGCTTTGATGAGAAGATAGAGGATTTTTGTTTTTATTTCCACGGCCTCTGAGCAGGCTTATCACATTTGAGCATTACTTCTCTCCCGCTAGGGCACTGCATCAGAGCACGGGGGACAGAACAAAGAACCAGCCACGAAGAAAAGGAGAAAAGAAATGAAATGCCTGAGTTAACGTGAACTTTGGGGCTTCTGCTTTCTTTTTACCCAACAAGCAACAGTGCCCCGTGTCCTACAGCCTGCACCCCTGGTAGCATCTTGGCTCTGAACCCACTGGACTCCGCCGCACCTTCCCTCGGAGGCAGGCCGTCTGGGTGGCTCCCGCTGCTGGCGAGGGCTGGCCTCCTGCGAGCCCTTTTGCAAGCAGCACAGCGCGAGCCTGAGCGTGGGAGCCTGCGCCGCCCCGACGGAACTCCACAGGAGCAAATTCGGGGTCTGCAGGCAGAGCTGCGGCCCAGGCCGGCTTCACGGTTCCAAGGAGCCTTTGGTGAGTTCAATTATCTGGTAAATATCCAGCGCTTCACCTGAAAGACAGTGCCCGTGGCTGGCGGTGCCCAGGAGCCCGTTTTCTTTCTGTATAAAATAAGCTTATTTTCTTAAACGTATCTTTCTGCTTGTTTGGTATTCAAAACAGTTTTCACCTAAAAATGCACTTTGACCTTATACAAGGCATCTTCTTAAAATACATTTCTACTGTGGTTAAAGAGGAAATATTTTGAGTTCTGGTTTCTTCCTTCATGTGCCGTGAACATCATGTTCCCTGGAGGTCCCGGGCACACCCTCCCCGGACCCGCCCGCACCCAGACAGAGGCGGGCTCCAGCCACCCGCACTCTGCGCGTGCCGACCGTAGTGGGGTGCAGCTCACCCTGGGGAATCCCGTATCTCCTTTCCATCCCAGTTGGATTGGAAGGGGTTTTACAATCCATGGTCACTTCCTTCCTGAGGCACCGGTCGATATCGACTGTGCTGAAAAAGGCGACGGACTGGGGCAGGTCATTGAGACCCAGCTTGTAGGCAAACATGCACCTGCAAGAGACCGGTCCCCTCTCAGACCCGGTCCTCCCCCCGAAGCTCACTGTGAGCTGTTGGGCACAACCGCCCCTGGGGCGGATGGAGAGGGCCGTGGAGTGTTAAGTACCGTCTCCATTATCCACCCATTAGGAGATCTGCTTCCCAAACTAGTTCGGAATGGCAGACCATTACAGAACTGTGATTACTGAAGTCAACCACGTAAACTAGGAATCTTACTACAAGGAAATACAGCTCAATATAGAAAATGTTTTTTAAGCCACATCGGGGTTTTAGACTACCACCAGAAAACATTGTGAACGAGGAATCATAAACTTCTGGCACTTAAGGAAACATATGGATAAAAGAAAAACCTCTCAATTTTGCATGAACGGAGAAAAGCTTTCATTTGATTTTTAAAACAAAGGTCTGTGTCTAGAGTAGGCCATGATGGCAGCTACTCGTGGAACACCTCCCTGACCTCCTCACTACTTCTGTCATCTAGTCTGGGTTTATGGTCTTTTCAAACCCAAGAAATCCCACAAGCTGAGGCTGGTCTTTTTAGGACCTCCGTTCCTAGGGAGATGCGCGCGGCCCCTGCCCTGCGTACCTGGTCAGGAGGTTGGTGATCTGCAGGGCCAGGGCCGCGCGGTAGCGGTCCTCCTCTCGCACCAGGTAGCGGACCTCATCATGGATGCTGATGCAGAAGCGCCCGTCGATGGCAAACTCCTCAAACAGCCACCTCATGGCCACGAGCATGAGGTGTAGATAGTCCACGGCAGAGCTCTGCACCACCCAGTTCACGCGGCTGGTCATAAACTGGGAGGGGGCACAGGTCACAGGGGTTCAGCCACATGCCGGCTCGCTGTGGGGAGGAGGTGGGACGGGAGCCCTGCCCCTCCCTGTGACCCCTCTCCCCAGGCTCTGAGGACCGCGCACTACCTCCCCCTGGACAGCCGAGGGCTCCAGGGCCCGGCTGATGCGGCAGCCCAGCACTGGGGTACACGGGGTGTCAGACATGGCAATGCTCTCCAGCTTATTGAACATTTCGGACTCCGTGCCCCCCGTCCATGCTCGTTCGGCAACCACCTCCCACTTCTTCCAGCGTGACCTGGGGACACACACACACAAGGCAAGCTTTGCCCTTCAGCATCTCTGAGCTAAAACTAAGTATCCCAGCTCCCCCAGGCGAGCCCAGACCCGCCCTCCCTCCTTAGGACACAGAAGGTTCTTACTTCTTCGAAGCTTCTCTCTGGATCTTGCGCAGATCCTGCAGGGAAACCCAGCCGTCTTCAGTCCTGTCCACAGGGAGGTCCAACTCCCTCACGAGCCACTCGCCCTCGTCCGACAGCCGGTACCTGGGGGCAGTGTCCCCACCATCATTCCCATGGGAGCGCCTCCTGGGTGCCTGGCCCTGGGCTGCAGTACTCACGGGACACCCAGGCCCATGCCTGTGCCCCTGGGCTCTACATCAGAGGGGGAACAGGCTGAGAGAGGATAAGTAACTTGCCAAGAAGAGGTGAAGCCCGGACGGGAACCCAGGCCTCTGTGGGCTACGCCATGGAAGCCCAGCAAAGGACAGATGCCAACCCGGGAGCCGGCACGGTTACCACTGTCCTCATGCTGCAGACAGCAGACCGCCCAGCGACTACTGAGCATCGTGCTTTAGTGCAGGAGACACCAGGGCTGTGACCCCAGAAGGGAGGGATAGTGGGGAATGGGATACTCCTTGAAGGGAGAAGGACATGTAGAGAAGACCGCGCACAGCCAAGTCAGACTGACCCCCTCAGTTCCCACTGCCCCAGACTCCCGGCTCCGATGCGGCCTCAGCTCCGGACGCCCGTCACTCACCAGCTCCACGACCTGCTCCACGCTGCACTGGGGCTTCCCCACTGCCTGCGCCCTCGGGCCAGACTCCCACGTGTCCGACCTCCTCTGTCCTCACCGCAGTCCCCACAGTGCGAGCTGTACCCCTCCCCGGTGTTCACGTGCTCACCTCTACACCATCACTTGCTCGCCCTGCAGCCTCCCAGGAGGAGCCCCGCTCATTAAATGTGGCCCCTGGACATGGTACCTGTGGAAGGCAGACCTGTCCCTCTCCTCCCTCACCTCCCCTGGGCTTCAAGGCCCTCCCGGGGACCCACTAAGGCCCCGAGCACACGAGGCGGCACGGCCAGAGGGAACAAACCGCAGCCTCCTGGAGCAAAGCCCACCCGAAGTCTCCACGGCCCCACCGCCCCGCCCTCACTCGCTCCCCGGACCCCACGCCGCTGCCGCGCCGCCGCTTGGTGGCAACACAGAAGTCCAACCCAACTCTGATGAAAACGGCTTCAAGTTATTCAGTAAGCAAATGTCACAACCCCCGGGCCAACCATCCTGGAGCCAGGTCAGAGGGCTGGAGAGGAGCCGAGAGAGGGCTCAGGCCATGGGGAAAGCAGGACGTGCCGAGGGCGGTGAAAGGGAGCAGAGGAGGCCTAAGGCCCTGGGGGGGGGGGGGGGGATGCGGATGGGGGTGGGGCCCTCACCGGCGAAGGCCCTTGGTGACCGCGTACATCTGCTGGGCCTTCTCGGCTGCCTCCTGCCGGGTGAGCCGGTGGTTGAACTGCATCAGCAGGCGCTCGGCGAAGGGCTGCCCCGCCCCGTAGATGCGGCCGTAGTTGAAGATCTTGGCGTGCTCCCGGCTGATGCCCACGGTCGCCGCGGTCTTACTGTGCAGGTCCGTGCCCCTGCTCTTCCTGCCCTGCAGCGTCATCCAGCCGAAGGCCGTGCAGCCTGGGGCGGGGAGGGGGGCGGGGAGGGGGGCGGGGAGCCGGGCGTGAGAAAGGCGGCCCAGAGGCGTTCTGCCAGCCCCGCGGCTGCCTCGGCTCCGGCCCGGCCCCTCTCACCGTGCATGCCCGCGAAGTGGGCATCTCCGAGCACGGCGGCGATCCACAGCTCCTGCGAGTCCACGTCGGCGCCCACGAGCACGTAACCAGGTGGGGCCTGCACCATGGCCTTCAACTCACTGCCTACTCGGTCAGGCTGCAGAAGAGGGAGGTCAGGCCCTCCCAGACACCCCTGTGAGACTCCTACCCCCGCCCCATTCCTAGAGCCGGGCTCAACAGAGTGCTGGGCCTTTCCTGACCGGGCGCTTCCGGTAATGCCGAGCACAGCCCCACGCTCCACCCCAGGGGCTCCCAGGACGGCCGCGGAGCAGCAGCGCGAGGGGACAGTAGACACCCGGACCTGCCTCCACCCCACCACAGCTGTGCGCATCACGCCTCGTCCATGTCTGACTACGAGGAGGGCCTCAGGTCAAGTTTGCTGAAGGAACCACAGAGCGGCAGAGCTAGATTTGAACTGGGGTCCCGACTGCCCCAGAACTTAGGTTCCTTTTCATGCTCCTCCCCGAAAACCCTCTGTACCCAGTTTCTAAGGGACCCAGGAGAGGCAGCACAGGGACCCGAGGGCAGCGCACACATACCCGGGCGTTGCTGGCAGTGAGCCACGTGGGCTCCACAGCCCGGCGCGTGATGGTGCCAGCGGTCACCACCTGAGGCAAGATGGCCCCGTAGCGACCTTCCTCATCGTAGTCGGGATGCCTGGTAGGGTGGGGGAGAACATGAGTCTTAGCAGCTTACTGTAGTCCTAGGTCCTCCCCCACTCAGTTCTCCCGTCCCCTCAACCACTTGGCAGGCCATACCTGGTCACAGCACGGGGCAGAGCTGACCTGGGCAGCCACACCACCATCTGGGAACTGCGGGGACAGGACGGAGGCTCAGGAAAGCCAAGCGGAACAGAATCCAGCTCTGGGGGCCACCGCGCCCCCTCCTGGCCAGGCCTCATCCTCTCCCCACTGACTTCATTCGGGGGCTGTGGCACAACCAAGGCCTGGGGCCCTAAAATCTCTCATCCAGGAGCATATGCCATCTGACAACCAGCCAGGCCTCCCAGATGGCTTCTGCCCTGCCCAGAGTGTCTGAGGAGTCTGACCTCGGCCCTGCCATGAGCACCTCGGCCACACTCGGGGCAGACCTCAGCAGCCACAGCAGCAGCCTTCTGGCAGCCAGCCCTGCGGCGGAGACCCCTGCCATTGTCAGCCTCGGGTCCCAGCGCGCAGGCCAGCTGCCCTCCATGCCCCTCAGCCACATCCAGGGCTCCAGCAGCTCCGCCATCCAGGCCCAACCACACCACTTTCTACATAAACACAGAGGCTGAGGCTAGGAAGGAAAGGGGCCTGCCCGCAGTCACATGGCACCCAAACCACAAGAAGCCAAGCCTCAAGACTGTC